AATGACTGCGGATGCTTTGGTTTATAGAGATCTTTGAGAAAGATTTCTCAAAAGCACATACATAAATCGTTTTCTGTATTCCACTAAAATTGGGACCACTTCTTTTCTGAAACACTGGAATTTAAGGAGGCACACTTTAGGCTTGCCCACAACTCTGAGACTATATTCTAAGGTCTTAGTAACCCAGGAAAGAGAAGTCCATTTCCCTTCTTCCTATGTGGCACTTCTGAAACTAACTAAAACACTTAACACTTAAAAATCAACAGTCAGCATGAATGCAACTCTTTAATCTTCCCTTTAAGAGGCAGCAACAAATTTCAGGTATGATTCTAATGCAGTAGGGGAGAAAGTAGTTATCTAAGGAAAAAAAAATAGCATGACCAGAATAAACAAATGGTGATCTATTAGATGAGCATAATGTAAACTGCTGTCAAAACACTAACACAGCATTCCAGCTTTAGAGCTGTTCTTCAGAGCGCTGGGTTGCCACAATTCTGAGTTTCAGACAGAGACTGGATAGAAGCAAGCCATTGGAAATAATGTACACTTTGTAAACAGCCATGGAACATTTTACTTAGAGTAATCTCTGTGGTGGAATTAAGTTTACACAATAAATGATTCTAAACGCTGTGTATAAATATATGCACTTTTGCTCTGTGGAATTCTGATTACGAGTGGGATTGTTACCTGCTTACAAAGCACCGTATTGTATCTCCTTAGCCACTTCTACCCAATGTCACTCCGCTTTTTTCATTTTTAAGGGGCTTGCTTCCCTCTCCCTTCTTTCCTCTTTATTCCTCTTTTTAAAAACAACTACAGTCTTATCATTCTACCTCTGCTGTCTGGCTGTATTTTTCCACTGCTCTGACAACTACCAGTGAATACAAGAAAGATGAGTTGTAGGCTCCTGTATTTTTGAACCAGGTAGCAAATCACAGAAGAATCTAGTGCATAATTCTGCAAGGGTAACCATTGGGAGCAGTAAAGACCATTATTTTCTCCCTACTGTTGGCAGGGGTCAGCGTCCCTGTCATTAGCGGTGTCAAACTATAATTATGTAAGTGCACTTTATGTGAGCAGATATCTGAAAACACTGTAAAGTTACAAGTGTGAAAATATACCAATCCGTCTTACAGTACTGATCAAAGTGGTCTTTGGAGGTGACACTTCCATACGGAAAGCCACTAGGATGTTGTTTATTGCTCTCTACATAAACATTTAAACTTATCATCTGAATTCTTCAAGCAGCTTGAAATCCCTGACCATATTCTTCTATCAAATTAAGACACTCGGATTATCAAAGATATTTCTTTTGTAGCATTCAACTCAATTAAGGAATGTAGTGTTTCTTAAAATAAACTTCAACTGAACAGACTACTTGTATTACCCTGTAAATGTCTGAAATGCGATTATGCTTCAAGTTTCAAGAGGCAAACAGTACAACCCCAACTCTAAATCTGTCTGTCCAGCGTAAGAGCTCCACTATGTTATTTCAAAGGCTGACCTATATACCGCAGCATACCGTCCATTCTGTCTGTTTGTATAAGAGATACCTCACACAGTTGTCATAACCAACATTGTTTGCATTGTTCTTTCACTTTTCTCTCTCCATGGGTAATGTGAGAGAAACAAGGAAAAGCCTGCATAACAATATATGCAGAGTATAATGAGCTTTCACAGCAGATAGAGAAATATTAGACTAAGATGCTTAGAATGCTATTTTAGGTTTATAAAATAAAGATCTAAGCAGTCTTCTGAAACAAAGCCTGCCAACTGGAAATTGTAAGATAAGAGGCGACTGTTTGAATCTACATTATTGCATTTTCCTTTGGCTACAGAAAAACACACTGTCAATACCTCCCATGCATGTGCCCGAGAACTCACTCATATGCTACAAACAATCATCTGATCAGCAAAAAAGCTAGTGCTAACAGAATAATTAGAAAACTTAAAAGCATAAGTGTTTGTGGAATACATTCTAAATTACCAGCCGCTCAAGCAGACTTAAGATGTGAAGAATCAAAGTCTGCCTTATTTGTCAAAAAAAAAACCCCAAAACAAAAAACAAAAACCGAAACCCAGATATGAAAACAAGGGCCAAATCCACCAGTAAGTGTCCAAAGCAAGTTTTAAGTAACTTTACAAGAAACAAGGTCCAGTTCTGAATGAGTTTTGCAGGTAAAGACCTAATCAAGACCACCATTCCAACCCAGAACACGGATCTATCACACTCCAGCCTGGGAGTTTTTCCTGGGAGAGATCAAGAGCAAACACTCAACCAAACTTACTGAACACAAAAGTCTGCAGGCCTCCCGCCCTTCAAACTCCCTAAATACACACAGCATGAAAATGAGTGACAGAGCAATACTGTAACATGATGACATGTTTAGAACAAGTCAGATAAGTTTTCACAGTAATGTTAATCATGCTGGGTGAAGGGAGAGAGTGAAGGGGGTGAAGAATGAAATGTTCAGTAAATGCACGCCTCCAAGGGGCCTGGCAAACCTACTCTGTCCATTTAATGTAATCAGTGGTCAGTGGCAAAGACATCTGAAAAAGACTTTTGTCCTATACTCCGTATCTTATACTGAAACATTCCTGGTAAGTCTTTTCCAAGCATAAAACATATGTCTTATGACTGTGCACTTTTAAGCACATTATCAGTTCAGGCAAAGTGAAAGAGAAGAGTTGCAACTTGTCTACAGAATGAGTGTCTCATTTGCATTTAAAAAGAACAGTTTGCTCCCTCATACATGGCATGACTTAAAAGAAGCTTTAACCAGCTAGTAAAGAAATTCTGAAAACGACTTTCTAAATTAATTTATTCGATTTGCAGTGCAACCTACCAAAAATTATTTAAGGAACTTAATTGGAAAATGATTTAATATATTAAAGTAATTCCTGATTTTCCAAAGCATTTAACTTTTAAATTAAATCTGGCCCACTATCTCAAGAATGATGAGTGAAATGTGTATTCAAGTCATTACCTTCTTTTTGAAGCTTTCAATCACTGATAGGTTTAATAACGTTTGTCCAGTTTCATTGCCAAATGGGTCTTCAGACACTTTGGTGCTTATGTCATTAGTATTAGCTCAAGCTTCTCACTTGGCAACACTTTACGGTTACAATTTACAAAAACAGACAAGAGAGAAAATAACGGCAAGCCACAGATCAAAGGTAGCAGTAGCCTCATGATTGCTCAGAGCACTTACAAAAAAATTAAAGCACACATACAGGCTCCTACACATCTGGACTCTTCCTGCCGAACAAAGTTCACTCCTGGCACAAACTTCCGATCTACAGGGCAGGTTTGCCAGATGCTGCGAAATACAGTTACTGAAAACACCGCTAACAGTCATACCTCTGGGATCTCTCTCGAAATATCCTTAGGCATCCACCACAAAGGGCCAGATTTATCCCTGAATTCTATAACTCCATTGAGTATATGTGAAATGCAGCCAGGATGAATTTGGTCCTTGCTGTTGTGATTGGTAGATGAGACCATGTGGGAAATCTTTCCTGAAAACTGAGAGGGCTTCACCCCGGCGCTGCAGCCTCCGCGCTCCAGCACAGACACAGGCTATTTTGCTGTTTATCTCTGCATCGAGGCAGCTGCCCGCAATGAAAGAGACGGCTCTGAACGTCTCCCTGACACGTGAGACCGGCATGACAATAGCCGAGCGCGGAACCAGGCTGGCCGCGGCGGGCCGGGGCGGCTGGCCCCCCGCGGCCGCCCCTCCGCGGCAGCG